TCTTTTTATTTTATTACGAATAAATGATTACCGTAGACTCATTTATCTGGACATATTGTTCCTTTTAGAAGTCTACTCATAATCAAACTCTCAGTACACCTGGATATACAATCTAAACTCAAACCACTGTCGGTGTCTTTCAGTGTTTCTGCTCTGAGGACAGGAGAAGCTCTCTTGGGTGCGTTTGATTCGTTGGTCAGAAGCGCGTCTTGAATCCGGAGAGCTCCAGCTTGTCGATGTTTCTCTGGTTGGAGAAGCAGAATCTGGTGATGCGGCTGCTCGGACTTCCTTCTTTACTCAGCCACACCTTCCTGTGGACGAGAAAGACAAATATTCACCTTAAAAACTACAATAATAAACATGTTTTCTAACTTGACCTCAACTAAGATTGTTTTGGGATGAGGTGTTTGAGTCCCTTCATGAAGTTTTCCAACAAAATGTCATAAAGGATCCAAAAGTGGCGATACTAGAAAGTGAAATACGTCCAAAGCAATAACGTTAATTCGCTTTCTGCTGGCAGGGTGGGAATAACTAAACGTAACTAATAAGACATAAAACCTGAATGAAATGATCAATGTTTTTTTTCGATGGAGTCTGGTGAGTAGTAAGTAAGTTTAAAGTTTGTAAAAAAAGGTTAAAATATTCACAATATAGTGTTTACTTGAACTAATGTGTTTGTTTTAGGTATCTAAAATATGTCGACAGCAGTAGCATAGCTTAGCTTACTGCTGGTACTCCAATCTGTTTAGAAAAACTACATTATCTGGATACACTGACTATGGAGAAATACCTCATAAAACCACACTTTAAAACATCCAAACTATCCCTTTAAGATAGTCAGTGGCATGTTCTTACATCGAATGACTTCTGACGTGTACCTAAAATCAGCAGTTTGATCCAGAGTTAGTCTGTCTTTGTGAAACAGGCCCCGAGTTGTTTTGCAGCAAATTGTTGGAGAGCAACTGACGTCATAATCGTGGGCTTCACTGTCTTGTGGGACAAAAATGTAGACAAAAATAAGTAAAACAGCCTCTCTGGGGTCAAACCAGTCTCTGGGACAACCAGGGGCATGATGGGAAAATTAAAAAAAACATTCCTTCAGCTATAATTAACCCTGAGAATCTGAGGGTGTTTCTGCTGCAGACATATTCAGGTTTACCACAGACTGTTGATCGGGACGTTTCTGATTGTGTGTGTGTGTGTGTGTGTGTGTGTGTGTGTGTGTGTGTGTGTGTGTGTGTGTGTGTGTGTGTGTGTGTGTGTGTGTGTGTGTGTGTGTAGATTAAAGGAGATTTCAGTGGATCAGGGTCATGTCCATGAGAGGGAGAGAGAGAGAGAGAGAGAGAGAGGGAGGAGGGAGGAGGAAGAGGAGAGAGTGTGAAAGGGAGATGAGAGATGTCCTACTTTTTAATTTTTTTGGCAAAAAACGTCTTGAATCTACAGCTGACTGATCGCTCTATGACCTACTACTCTACTGTACACACACACATACAGTACACACGTATATATGTGTACACACACACACACATATTTATGTACACACACACACACATATTTATGTACACACACATATATGTATGTACACACACACACATATTTATGTACACACATACACACACAGATTAGTGTTAAGTCTGCAGCAGCTGGATGTTTGTTGCTTTGTAATCTGCAGCCATTTTCCCCTGAAACACACTGATCCCACACACACACACACACACACACACACACACACACACACACACACACACACACACACACACACACACACACACAACACACACACACACACACACACACACACATCACACACACACACACATACACACACACACACACACACACACACACACACACACACACACACACACACACACACACACACACACACACACACACACACACACACACACACACACACACACACACCACACACACACCAACACACCACACACACACACACACACACACACACACACACACACACTAATGGACATGTGAGGACCCTCACTAACATATCATTTCTGAGCCCTCGACCCTAAAAAGGATACATCTTGCTTATCAAAAGCTTAGGTCCTGTTTTTGTTTTGTAGATCATTCGCATCAGTAGGTTCACAATAACATGTCCATTATAAACCTCCAGCACAGTTTACAGTCCACTTCCTGTTTCCTCTCTCTAACTATGAGAGGAACTCCATTTTTGATTTTGTAGTCATTCGCTTTTTACCCCCTTGTATTCCTTGAATTGTTATATTATGTAATATTATGTTTTTATGCTGCACAGTGCCGATTGTAGAGTCTGTGGGGGCCCTCGGCAAACATTCACTGGGGGCCCCTCGAACCAGCTTTTCGTCACCACGCACAGCCGACAGTACCCCCCCCCCGGAGCAAGGCAACAAAACTTACGGCCCGTCCACACGGCGGCGTGCGTTGTGCAATGTTCAACTTTTGAAGCTTCGACGGAAGCGTCAGCCAATCAAATCATATGCCAGTACATGCTCTAGCCAATCAAACCGCGTGCTTGTGTGTCCGGGCGGGAGATTCATGTGATTGGTTGTTGGTCGAGTTTCAGACACGCCCACCGGCAAGCTTCAACGCACGCCGCTGTGTGGACGCTGCGTTAAGATAAGAAGCAGCATTTTACGGCGCGCTATGCATGGGGCCGCCTTGAGGGGGTTCCCCAACATGTCGTTGCAGTAAATTAAAGGGTGTTTCATGTTGTCCTTGCTGTGGACCTTCTTAATCTACCTTCTTTGGGGACCCCCTTCTGGTCCGGGGCCCCAAGCAGTTGCCTGCCTTGCCTGTCCACAAGCGGCGGCCCTGATGCTGCATCATGAGTGCACAATGGTTTAAAGTTTGACCTGAAGTGAATGATTTGTTCTCTGTTTTAATTAGTGTATGAATAGTGCAATACTAATAAAGCTTTATTACAGTACATGTCATTTGATAGACGCTTTTATCCAAAGCAACTTACATACATTCAGTACTGTGGACAATCCCCACAGGAGCAATTTGGGGTGAAGGGTCTTGCCCAGGGACACAACTACATGCTGACTGCAGTGGGATTCAAACTTGCTACCCCCTGATTCCAAGTCCAGCACACTCTCCACTGAGCCACAGCCTCCCTTGTATTATTATTACAAGTATATTGTATGTTACATTGTTGGAGGAGCCTGGCGCTTTAGATTTCCATTGCTGAGGTGCATATGACAATAAAGCTTTGGATTCTTGAATAGTAAAGGTAGGACAGCCAAAAATGTAATATTTGTCCGATAATATGAAAACAGGCTCTCACAGTGTTTAACACTTCTTTTGGCAGGAGCTCAAACTGCAAACAGACGCCCAACATTTCTAACCTCGCAGATCATCTGATAATCAGAGTGTTTGTGTATTAAATGTTTATTTAGCGAGGACTATGCACAATACATGTATTGTTCCAGAAATAGCTCAAAGATTAGTGTCCTCTTCATTCTCTGGGCGGAGGCCAGTAGTGATGCACAAGGAGGAAAACATCAGAACACTTTTTAAGATAACCACATTTTTGATGTTTTAGGCAACAACTCAGACTCTTCCATCACTATTTAAAGTACAATAGAGGCTTAAAATGAACCAAAAAGTCCTGAGAAATCATGACGTCCCTGAATCTGATCAACAACAACAGCAGAAACGTTTACATTCATTATTTAGGCGCCACAATTGTATTCATTTTGGGCCGACTCCCACAAAAATGGGGATTCAACCAGGATTCAACCCACACACACACGGACTCATCTCCCACACACTCATAGGCGGAGTTTGACATTTGCGCTTGGGGGGGCAAACCATTTTTACTGACGTCAGTACACAGTCCCAACTATTGCGTGGGGTGCTATGGATACAGTAGCAATAAAGCCAGGGTTCACCGCACTGAGTATGACTTTTCCATGCCCGCCGTACACACACACTCATATGGAAGGGGCGGTCTCTCCCCCCAACAACAGTGCATTACATAACTGTAAAACTTATCATAACTGTGCACATCTTATACTTATTTGATAACTACTATATCCCTTGGTTACTTGAACACACTACAGTATTATTAACCAGTGTCCTACCTTATTAAAATATTGATATACGAAATATTTGTATTGGAACAGTTTTAGACGTAGTAATGCTGTAACATATTTCAGCCACTAGGGGGGGCAATGCCCCCCCCGCAAAATCCGCCTATGCACACACTGTATTTCTATCATGTGATTAATCCCACCTGTTACATCTGTTTCTCTCTCTTCTTCATCCATCTGTCTTTCTCTAGCCCTCCCTCCATGTATACGTGTGTCAGTGTGCATACTGTACATGTTATTGTGTTGATTATTCTGTACACACAACATCTATAACACGTCTAAGTAGAGGAATGTCTCCTATATTGCTCCCCCTGAAATGTCCTACATTCTTTAACTTTTGGGAAGGTTTTTCTTATCTGAATAAGTTGTAAAGCCTCTGATTACAAATGTGTGATTACGTATATTGGGGCATATAAATAATGGACTCGTCTTGTTTTATACCCCTTGACTTCACTCCCACAAATTCCAGGACAGGGAGATTGTTTTAGTTTCAGTTCCTTCTTCCTTTCACCCATCCCTCCTTTCTCCCATCCCTCCTTTCTCTCCATTCCTCACTTTTTCTTGTTTTCAAGCTGCTCGGATCTTTAGGATTTTTCTCTCAGAGTAAAGAGGAAACCACCCACTCGTTCACCTCCTACTCTCACTCTCTCTTCCTCTCCATTATTACCATTTCTCCACTTCCACCATTCTCCTTTCCTTCCTCCATTTTCTCCTTCCTCCTCTTTTAGAATTTTTCTAATTTTTGTACTTCAACTTCTTCTGACTCCCCTCCCTACATTCCTCTCCCGGCCTCCTCCCTTCCTCTTGCCATTATTAAAAGTATTATTCTTATTCTTATTATGATTTGCCCCTCCCTCCCTCCCTCACTCCCCCCCCCCCCCCCCCTCTCGGCCCAGAGGAACAGCTGACCCTGTTTCCCAGGCCCTGCAGGAAGTGAGGTCGTGGTGAAAGTGGAGCAGACAGGAAGCAGAGAGAGTGAGCACGATGACACGGAAAACACCTCTGATAGGACGGGAGGAAATAGTAGTGTGTGTGTGTGTGTGTGTGTGTGTGTGTGTGTGTGTGTGTGTGTGTGTGTGTGTGTGTGTGTGTGGCCTAGCATTACTATCCTTGTGGGGACCTAAATCTGTTTACACAGTCACGTGTGGGGACATAATGGAGGTCCCCATAAGGGGAATCATTAATTTTAGGGTGAAGACTTGGTTAAGGTTAGGGTACGGGTAAGGTTAAGGGTAAGGGTAAGGTTAAGGGTAAGGGTTAGGGTTAGGCATGTGTTGGTTAAGGTTAAGGTTAGGATAAGTCTCCAGGAAATGCATGTAAGTCAATGTAATGTCCCCTGAAGTGATGTATACATGGTGTGTGTGTGTGTGTGTGTGTGTGTGTGTGTGTGTGTGTGTGTGTGTGTGTGTGTGTGTGTGTCGCAGTGATGTCATCCAAATGAGACGTCCACACCCTGGTGACATCACTCCCTCTGGACAGAGAGGTCATCAAAACAAAGTGAGCTCCAGCTTCATAATGAAGTGGTGCTTACTGTCATTACTTCAGAGTGAGAGGAGAGAGAGAGGGAGAACAGTGAGGAGGAGATATGTGATCATAAAGGGATGTGTTTAAGTACTGCTTTCTTATCAGGTTAATCGGTTAAAATATCACTTTTTCTGCAAGTATTGGTACAAAATATAAAAATGTGACAGAACGAGGAGCTCAGAGGCCTGTACTACGAAGCTGGATTTTCGCTTAGCCGGCTAACTTCAGGGAATCTCGGGCTTTCCGGTCCTACGACGCTGGTTCTCTTTTTAGCAGGCTAGATTTCCATGGTAACTTATGCTGAGCGGCAAACCTGCTCCGGAGCAGGGGGGGTATACTACGAATCTAGTTCAACATATCCTGGATCTGTTTTGAGTTATCCGGCTGACTAAATCCAAAAAAAAAAAACGCTCTCGCTAAACTGTCCTACGACGCTGGCTATCACCTCGACCGCAAGCCAGCCGTGTCCTATCTAGTTAGGTGCGCGTTCACATAAAAGGGGTGGTATTTGGAGCTTTCGACCAATCACAAACATGGACAAGCCGTGTACTGACAGCGCAGCGCGTCATATATTTCCTGAATGAAAAGTCAACTAATATTAGACAAATATGAAGACGTTAAACTTTAAACATCCATGACTTAAACACTTTATCCAGGATAAAAGCCACATAGTTGCAGCTGCAAGGTGAATAGGCTACTGCTGGTAAAAGAAAAAGTGTTTGAATACGTTCATTAACAGTTTTATGATATCACTGCTGCCCCGTCCAAGACACGAGTGGATCTGACTTTAATTACATTTGACTCGAGTGTCAACTTAATGTGTTGCTTAAAATAATACTTCTGCATACAGTGTGACACTGTGAGTGTTGCACGGCCAGATACGGCTCAAGAAGCTGACTCAGATAAGGAAATATATGATACATTATGATGTGATATCATGTGATATGAATGATAATGGGGTACGTCTGCACTCACAGTGCCGCGGACTGTAGGTTACTTATGTTGTGGCAGATATTTAAGTAAGCTTTCTTAACGCTAATGTTATAATAGTCAGATTGCTCTGAAGATGGGAGGTGATATTCTATTCATTTTCACGTTCACACAGTCGGTGATTTTGGCCGGCTGTCTTTCCTGCAACGGCAGTTTAAACTGTATTTCCTTTCTCCTCCTGTCATATGAATTGATCCCTTAAAATCCGCACACTGAGCTCTGATTGGTCAGCAGGCAGTGCTTTTATCCTGGAACCTATCCTGCTCCGGAGGATAGCCGTTCAGAATAAGTTATCTAGCCCGCTAAAAAGTGAACCAGCTTCGTAGGACCGGAAACCCCTGAAGTTAGCTTGCTAAACGAAAATCTTGATTCGTAGTATAGCCCCCAGGTTAGGTGGCAGGCTAAGAGATCAACTCAGTGAAAGCACCGCCTGCTGACCAATCAGAGCTCCGTGTGCGGAGTTTAAAGCGATCAATTCATATTACAGGATAGAGGAAATACAGAAAAACTGCCGTTGCAGGAAAGACGGCCGGCCAAAATCAACTGACTGTGTGAACGTGAAAATTAATAGAATATCCCCTCCCATCTTCAGAGCAATCTGACTATTATAATATTAGCGTTAAGAAAGCTTACTTAAATATCTGCCACGACATAAGTAACCGGATCAGAGTAACATTAAGTACAGTCCGCGGCACTGTGAGTGCAGACGTAGATGTGTCCCATTATCATTCATATCATATCACATCATAATGTATCATATATTTCCTTATTTGAGTCAGCTTCTTGAGCCGTATCTGGCCGTGCAACACTCACAGTGTCACATACTGTATGCAGAAGTATTATTTTAAGCAACACATTAAGTTGACGAAACACTCGAGTCAAATTCTCCTAATTAAAGTCAGATCCACTCGTGTCTTGGACGGGGCAGTGATTTCATAAACCTGTTAATGTACGCATTCAAACACTTTTTCTTTTACCAGCTGTATTCACCTTGCAGGTGCAGCTATGTGGCTTTTATCCTGGATAAAGTGTTTAAGTCATGGATGTTTAAAGTTTAACTTCTTCATATTTGACTAATATTAAAGTTAACTTTTCATTCAGGAAGTATGACGCTGCGCTGTCAGTACGCTTGTCCGTGTTTGTGATTGGTCGAATGCTCCAAATACCACCCCTTTCATGTGAACGCGCACCTAACTAGATAGGACACGGCTGGCTTGAGCGATCCACTTGATAACCAGCGTCGTAGTACAGTTTAGCCAGAGCGCGTATGTTTTGGATTGGGCCAACCGGCTAACTCAAACATATCCAGGTTAGGTTGAACCAGCTTCGTAGTACAGGCCTCGGGTCAGAAGAATTTCATTGCCATTTCTATACTGTAGCTTTGTGCATATGACAATAAAATGTTTGAATTTGAATCTGTTATGTTGTGAAGGTAAATAACGCCATCTAGTGGCTGAATAAGTAACATCACAGCACTATAAGACTTGAATGCGAAAACACTCAGATCATGCTGCAGATCATTTAAGGAGAAACACTGCCTACCTTTTCATGCACTCGTTTTGAGATTGACATATTTGTTTTAAGACTAATGGGAAGAAAACATCCCAAATACAAATCTAGGGTTTTTATCCTGTGTCTATTTGTATCTTTTTCATCAAGATCTTCTTCCCTCCAAAAAACCTGTTTCACATTCAGGTGTGCAGAAGGTCTGTTACATAAACAAATACAAATGATAACAGTGTGAACTCACATTTCCTCCACCTTGTGAGTGGGACCCTGCACCTGTCCCACCACCGTCCCACCGTGGGTGTTCTTCACCCAGCCCACCAGACCCAGGTGCAGACCCTGCTTCTCCGTATACTGCAAGGGGAGGGGAGACAGAGGGGTTAACGTTGTACATAAGGGAACAATTGAGTTTCCTGAGCTTAAAAAGGCTATATTACATCAGGAAACGTCACTGATCTAGCACGGTGAAGCAGAGGTCACATGACTTTTGACTATAAAATACTAACTATATACAAAAAAAAGTCAGTTATTTGAAGTAATGTGCAACCAATTCATTTTTTGAATCATCACAAGTTCACAACTAACCAGCAAATGATTCGAAATATCCACGCTGTTAGCACCGTCAGAGTTTTCCTATACTGTATTATTATTACTGAAGTAAACAGAGAAACTCACCATTCTGAAACAGACTCCTGCCAAAACAAAAACAAAGAGAGAGTGACTTAAAACATGTAATCAGCAAATATTTTACAACAACAGACAGTTTTATATTTCTTATTTCGACTCGTGAAAACAAGCAGCTCACTATATTGTCAGGTGAATTAATATTAAACACAATAATAACCCTGAGGCTGCAGTGAGAGTGCAGTGAGTTCCTCCGTCCTAAATTAAGCATCAGATCATTTTACAGCCTGAGCTCACAGAGCAGAAAACAGAAGAGCAGATTGAAACACACAGACCCTGAACGTTTCCGAAGATCTCAAAGTCCACAGAGGTCAGTTTGTTTCCTCCTGCTTCACCCATCCTGAGACAGAGAGTGACACAGAGGAGGAGGAGGGTCAGAGAGAGAGAGAAAACCCCCGCTGTGAGGACTCTCTGCGAGCACATGCTCACTCCTCCAGGAATATCTCACCAGAGAGGACGCTCATGGTATCTGTAGTCCATTAAAACGATAACAACTACAAATACTATGCTACTACAGAAAGGTGCAGGAAGGAGTCCTAAACTTGGATATGAGTGAGCATTTAAGCACTTTCTGTTCCATCATTTGGAAGTCAATCGGTTTTTGGCGAGAAGCCTGAAATAAAGTCTGTGGGTAACACAAGCTAAAGAGATTTAAAGGTTTTTTATTAAATCAAATACGTCATTAAACTTAAAGTGGACTTATGCTATATTGGAAACATATATTGTAGGGAGGGCCATACCTATACAAAACATGTCTGTGAAGTTTTTTTGCTTAAAATACCAAACAGATCCCCCATTGTAGCCATGCCTCATACTGCTCATACCCCTCTTTTGCAGCCCTGTTAGAGAAACACGGATTTTGGGTCCTTAGCTTGAAAAAGAAAGAAAGAGGAGGCGGAGCTAATGCCTGATCAGAATTCTACCGGAGATAAAGTTAAATTCTGCTGTGATAAAACACCATCCTGTTCTAAACCACATCAAGGATTATTTCTGAAACAGTATGGAGCTCAAATGCTTTTTCTCTTGCGGGTTTATCACAAGGTAAGTTCCTTTTTTTATTTCCTGCTTTATAAACACATGTGCTCTCCAGTACAGGTTAGCTCTGAGTGTTAGCGAGGCTTGCTAATGTAAACAAAGACGAGATTACGTCCCAAAACACGTCAGGCATTGTTTCTGATAGCAACTTTCTGTGGGTCCGCCGCCGATTTGACGTCAGATCGACAGCAAATCTGTATCCGCTCGTTTTTTAAAAGATTTGGGAACGGAGGAAAAGAGAAAGGGTTTTATTTTCTGACGCTGCGTGAGTTCCCTGACACACCGGGGACACATTTTTATGTATAAAAGACATCAAAAAGTGCATTTAGCATGATAGGTCCCCTTTAAAGAGCTAGATACCAACCAGGAAGAGACTCATAATGACCATCAAGATACACAAACAGAATTGAATGTGACAAAAAAAGACTACAAGAAAACCCAGAGAACTAGAAAGTGGTCATAAAGAAAGAAAGCCCCACAAAAGACACAAAATAACTACAAAAGACACAACGTAAGTAACCGCAAAGAAACGCAAAAAGATGCAAAATGGGTTGCAAACAGCTACAAAGACAACTTCACAACAATGAAAAGGATCAAAACAACCACAAGAGAGACAAAAAAACTACGAAGAGACAAAAATACCAAAAAACAACAACAAAAATAAGTTTATATGTATATATTAACTATCAGCATGGGGAAAAAAACTGTTCAAAACAAGTACTCGAAATGAACACTAGGTGTCAGTAAAACCTAACAGATTACAGCAGCTTGGTAGTTAGTCACACACACACACACACACACACACACACACACACACACACACACACACACACACACACACACACACACACACACACACACACACACACACACACACACACACACACACACACACACACACACACACACACACACACACACACACACGGGGGTCTAATCTTTGTGAGTGTCAAAACAAACACCAGGAGGCTGTAAATCCAGCACTGCTCACATTTCTGCTCAAATTCTGACTCCTTCTGCACATCACACACCCAGTGGCGTTTTTATATGTACAAAAGTGGTGGGGCACAAAAAACTTAGATGTCTATATATAAGCTTCTGCAGTGACGTGCAGTGAGGTTCATGGCTGGTGAGGCACTGGCACTGACTCTTCAGGTTTACAAATATTATATTTTGACCTAAACCAAAATATAATATTATTTTCAAAAGCTTTTTTTGTCTGATGCTTCGATTAATTTTAAACAGACAGTTCAACAAAAGGATACCCAAAAAATGTAATTTTATCATTTAAATATTGAATTGTTCTCTCTTAGTAAGATCCCATTTTCAATAAAATGGCGGTCTTACCTTGACTTGAAGATGAAGTCCATTTGCCTATCCTTCTGGAAAAACATTTCTATTACTTTTTTGTAAAAGTCCTCCTTATGTTCTTGTAGTTTCAAAAGTCTATCATAAATCTAATCCATAGATTTATGATAAAAAAATTATAAAAGTAGGGTAGACATGTGGATGTTATCCGGCTAATCAAAACGTGCATTTATCTAACAGGTACGTTTCCCACAGATCTTATTTCGAGCTATTTTCTAAAATCCTCTGGAGAAATCTCATTGCTTTTTTGTGCTTACTTCCTGGTTTTAGGACGCGCCACTGCAGCTCTCTCGTCTCCTCTTCACACACCACACTTTTCGCGGCACACGTACTTACAGCCAATCAGCTCTGAATGATTTGAGATGACGTATGGTGGGGATGGTAGCTCCGTGCCCCTCTGGTCATTATTTTTTTGCCACACACATTTCATTACAAAATACTCTGAGCATGCGCAGTGTAGTTTTTACAGTCACGTTCACTTCACAGCGAGAGGAAGGGGCATAATCAGGTTTTGTCCCACATGGCTCTAAACAGCTCAATAGGCACACACTGTGACTGTAGACACACTAATTAGAAGAACACAGACTAAAACAGCAATGTACAGACGAATCAGATGATTAAACATGATCTTAAAATATATTTTATATATTTTTTTATTTATTTTTTTGCATTTTTGTAATCATTATTTGTAATACTTTCTGCTGACACTAGGTGGGGCTGTGCCCCACCTGCCCCTAATGACCAGTCGCCACTGCACACACCTGTAATATCGATAAACAGCTGACCAGCCAAGGAGAAACCCTGACTTTATAAAATGGTGATTTTGCGTTTTACACCGAATGCAGTTTTAATAGATTGGATAATCTCATGCAGGACTCAATCCTGGAATGAGTCAGCATTTTAGCTTTCTGTTCCCTCGCATTTAATCAGAATCAAGGTTATTGAAATGTTTTTAGAAAGAATTTGCGATGTACTACGACATAAAATACGACAGTAAATACCCCACTGGTGAATGCCTGAAGCTTCTTTGTGGGATAAAAACGACATTTGCAAACAAGTGTTGATTACAGCAAACATTAGCCGCCGTTAGCTTAGCGGTGGTTAAATTATATGACCGTGATGTAGTTCATTTTGAGCCTAAAGTTAGCTTTTTCTTCTGGGGATGTCATTTTTGATCATGAACGTGGCGTTAATATGTGGAGTTTATCCTGTCAGACAAAATATGTAAGGATCATAAAAGTTAGTTTTCCAAAGATATTAAATTCCGCAATAATCCAAAAATATTTTTGTCAAGGGAACCGGGGTGATGCTAACTTCCGGGTCGGCCTTCAAAAAGACGTCATCCCTGCAACCGCTCTATTTAAAGATGAAATGGAAACATGAAGAGTGAGACGATGATGGTGCCACGAGCTGAGCTGAGTCATGTTATATTGAAGCTGAGTCATGGTTTGTTCTGACTCGGTTGTGACGGCATCGACCTTGACTTCTGCGTGAAAAGTACACCAACACACACACACAACGTACCGGAACATCTAGTACATACTGTACAGCACGCCTTGACACACACACACACACACACACACACACACACACACACACACACACACACACACACACACACACACACACACACACACACACACACACACACACACACACACACACACACACACACACACACACACACACACACACACACACACACCTAAACATCATCTACATTTGTATTCATCCAATAGTAAGTGGGATATTTAAACCGAGAATACCTTGCTAGCATAGCAAACAATTATAAACCTAACCTAATAAAACATTTGTTTTCTCAGTATTATCTTTGTGTCAATTTTAAAAGCTGGCCTCTGCTGTGCAAATGTGTTTGTCTAATGCTAGCATGCAAAATAATATGCACTTTGCCTGTCAAAATGTTTTGAAGTTTGCAGTAACAACCCCCGGAAAAAGATTGCCAAAACAGAATACTTTCTGATGTGCCATAGAAATAACTTGGTCCCGAAACAACATTACTGATACTCCTTATGAATCCGTTATATTCCATCATGAGACCAGGCAAAGTACCAGTCTAACATTTCTGCTTTCATAAAGTGAGATTGTGAGCAGTAAAGACAGGAAGCTTCTCTCTGTGTACTTTCATGTGATGTTCAGTAAATAGTTTATGCAAACGATGCACAACAGTTCAGGTATAGAATCAGAGATTCACAGAGAAAAAACCAACAGACTTCAGTTAACGGCTCGTCAGACTGAATCCTCAAGGACGCCGAGCCCCAACACGAGCCAGGAGGTCAGAACGTACCGGAACATCTAGTACATACAGCACGCCTCAGCACGCCTGAACACACACACACACACACACACACACACACACACACACACACACACACACACACACACACACACACACCCTGTTCATCATCAGCAGGGATAAAATCAAAGGAATAGCTGAAATATGAAAAAATAAACAGAGACAGACTGTAATGTTACACAAATAGTTGTATGGATACAGACACACAGACGCACAGATGCACAGACACACACACACACACACACACACACACACACACACACACACACACACACACACACACACACACACACACACTACTAGACCTACTGTACACGTGTGTTCTTTCTCCATAATGTATTTCCAGGAAACCATCCTTCCCTGCTAAAATAATGATTGTGTGGGAGAGAAACTCCCTCTGGAGGGAACACAGGGATTTTAGCCTTTGCAGACCATTTACATGCACACAAACATCTAGATTCTAGATGTTTGTGTGCATGTAAATTCACTAGATTCTAGAACACACCCCAAAAAGCATAAGCCAGAAAACAGTAATTTGAAGATGCGAGAAAACACACTTCTGGTAAATGTATTTTGTTTGTGTGAAAGCTGGTTGTGTTAAACTGTGATGAGGTATCTGAGATGGCTGGAACAACCCATTATTAGCTTATCATGTTTAATTAGCTTCAATTCTCAGTCACTGTTTTCACTGTTACTGCAGCTACGCATACAC